AATTAATTCTAAACAAATAGCATGAAACGAGGACAACGACGGTCACAATTTCTAACTCTGTTGTTCATTGTGTTTGGTTAGTGCTGCAACAAAACCATAAAACTAAAGAGTTCCTCTGCAGCAGAGTAGGAAAAGTTACTAGCCATTGTCAGGACATCAACAATGTGCACACTGTTACAGTCATGCAAGTTCATAATAATCCGAAATTGCAATTAATGAAGTCAGTGTCTGTGCAAGACCTTTTAAAATGCTCCATTTCAGACTGTTTTTTGTTTTGTTTTTAAATCTTGGCTCCGTATGATGTCAGTGAGAACGGATCTTCTCAAGGACACAACTGCGGTCGTGCTCACAGAAGCCACACCCACCTGCTGTTGAAACTTTATGTTCGAGAGAGTCTTGCAATATGAAGAAAGTAGGTTTAAAGTGAGAGTGCTTCACCAAGGCGCATGAGAAAAATAAGGATTTTTTTTTGGCCTGTCCCTTTCGCTACTTTTACAATCAGAGTTATTATCTGAAGGCCAAGAAAGATGCCCAATGGTGTTTTCCCAAGTGGATCATTATGGCTTAAGGGTTATTTTGTCTTGTGTCTTAATCCTGTCCAAAAACAGCAGATGGCCCCGCCCCTCCCTTAGTCTGGTTCTGCTGGAGGTTTGTTCCTGTTAAATTGAGGTTTTTCCTTCCCACTGTCGCCAAGTGCTTGCCCACACTTGAATTGTGATCTTAGGTAAAGCTGCTTTAATAGAATCCAAGAATGTAAATGAGCACAATAGGTTCCCTTTGAAAGATTTGATATACGGTGACATATATATATATATATATATATATATTTATTTATAATATAAAAAATATTCATATAAAAATAATAGAATAATTTTAATTAAGAGGCCCTGTAATAAATCAAAAACATCCAGTCATCCGTCATTCCAATGAAAACTAAACACTGGAAAGGGTGATGTGACTAAAATCTTCACTCTTAGTGAAAAAGGTTATGAAGAATAATGTCTTATCGACTTAAAATGCATGTCACTTTATTTATTTTATGAAAGATAAAATGCAACAACATGAAAATTACTTTAGCTAGCAGATATTCATCCAGGCAGTGTCAGAGCTTTCATAAATCAGAGGAAGGTCGTCGACAGCTTGGCATTACTATGATCTACTTGAGCCTCCACAGTTAGCGGACCTCCCCATATGGAAAAGAAATAGAAAAAAAAATACTTGCATCAGATGTGGCCTACTTCATATAGCGAATCACATAAGGCTTATATGATTCACTCATGAAAGTGGCCACTTTCTCATTACTTTCATATATTGTTTTAGGAAGTATCCAAAACATACATACAAGTCAAGGGATCTTACATCTGTTTTCACTCTTGTATGCTTTTCATACAAGTTTTGCACAAGACAGATACAAACTTTATAAGATATATATACATCTTTTCCATATGGGTCAACAAGCTATGTCTAGGAATATTTTAAAAAAAAAAGGTGCCACAGTAAAGCAAACAAAAGCAAATATTTCTTCATTCCACAGATGATTCAGCGAGCAGTGAGGCTGCACAGCATCCTTCGGGTATCCCCAGCTGTCGATGACCCCGCAACAACAGCACCTCGCCTCAAATCAACAGGATCCAAACTTTGACCATTCACTGCAAAACTACATTTGTTTTATTCTAACGAGGAGAGAAGCCTTCCCACTAAAAACACACCCATGTGACATAAGACACAGAGGTGACAGATGGCAGCTAAGTGGATGTATGTTTGCCTGTAGTCTAGTTTGCTTGGGAATAATTCAGATGGCAGTAGATCCTTTTTTTTAACTGAGATTCTGTTTTTACATATGCGGACACGCAAATAGTCAAACCTTAACCAGGACACCAGTGTGACTGTAAACAGGATTTGATTAAAGGCGTCTCTCATTTGCATTGTTTTCAGCGCCATCACTAGCGCTAGTGACGACAGTGTGTCCCAGTGTGATCTGACAAGTTTGTCAAAGGAGGAAGTAACTGTGTGCAAAATGTGTCTCGTCTGCCAAACCACTTTTAACCTCTGAATGCATCATAAAGATCTTTCCAGCTGAATGCATTTTATTTGACATTAAACAAGCATTTGTCGGATCCCGTTTTATTTCTAATTAGGACCTGACTATTAACCACCCAAGTATCGATTGCTGCTGGAATGTTTTTGGGGATCCAGATAAAAGTATTTAGATTACTTTTAGATTTAACCATAAGGTGTCTGGAAGAAATTAACCACAAAAGTGCACAGTCATCATTAGTGGTAAACGAACACATACTTAAAAAAACAAAATCACACACAGTCGCACATTACCTTGGGTTTTTCCTTAAAGCTTAAGGTCAGCATAATGGAGAGAAAAAGTCAGACCAGTTAGTTTGGTTACATCAAATGTCGGCAGGCACAAAAACAAATGAAAATGTGGCCTAACAATACCAACGGGATGTGTGGCAGCTGTGCAGCAATACATCATGACTTATCGTTTACGGGAAGAAATGTCAAACTAATGCACAAATGCGATGAGCAACACCGACCAGTTTTTCCATGCATAAAAACTCATTTATCGCTGTTACAGTTGCAACACAGACGTGTTTCACAAGAGCCGACTCATTTGGTTTTTTAAGCCTAAATTCTACTGTCATGGATTTTGAAGACCGTGCAACTAGAAGGCAAAGGACACAAGCAGTGTTCTGTAAAGCTGGGAATAATTTTTTCTAGGAACTGTTTCTTCCCACTGTCTCTCATCACATCTCACTTCCAGTTTGGTTGTGCCCAGTGGTGAAAATGAGGAATCAAAAGTCTGCTTCTGAAAACCGCTCTGTGAGTTATGTAACCGAAAGGGTTAAATAATCCTAACATACGCTTTCACGAAATCAGGCTAATGTTCGTGAAACTTAACTAGCATGGCTCACGTTGAATGATAAGCGCACCAGCATTCCCGTTTATATCGAGCATGAAGCACAGTTTTTCATTGTTGACCCTGACTAGGGTAACTCTGAATATCAG